CCAAACACACTTGACTCCCTAAAGACACACAACACGCTCCAAACCTCTACCCCGCCTGGCTCTCTGCTCTGACTCACGTTGGAAAAAAAGATTTAATCATAGGAGTAAATTGGCTCGGTGGAAAATGATTCGTTGGGGCATAATGTGCATGTGCGAGCTATTTCGGCTCATTACGCAGTGATCTGAAAGGTTATGGAATTGAAACCAGCATGAGGGACGAGGCTTCCAAGGGCAACGAGAGCGCAGGGCCCCGAGAGCGGCTCCACATGTTGTCAGACAACACGCTACCACGGCAACACAGAGGGGGGCTGAGGGTATATCTAATTGACTGGCTCTGCTTAAAAAAATAAAACCTCAGTCAGAGGAATAAAATGAGGTGTTTGTTGTTCTAAATTATGCTGAATTAATGTATACACTTTCAGTTACCACACAAACACCCACACTCATACAGTACACACTCACACATGGATGCCATCATCTGTGGTGTTAGTTTCCAGCTGTAAATTGCTGCGTGTTTTTTTTTACAGGAGAACACTAAATATGGACAAAAATACGGAGACACCAATAATATTTCACAAAATGTGATCATGTGTAACATCATGGTGATAAAAGTGCTCCTATAACATAATTCACTGTTCTGGTTTAAGCCTTTCCAAAATAATTTGGACAACAACAAATTCTCTAAGTTAAATGACAAAATAGACCCTTCCCCCACATCCTCTCAAACAACACCTGACGGCAGTATCTATCAACAAAAACACGTATGTGCCGTGGAGAGCTGGAAATCATCAGTTCTAAAAAATAAATCTATTTTATGATGTGGTAACTCTATGGTTAAGGTTGGTTAATTTTAGGAAAGTATCTTGGTTTTGGTTAAAAATATTACTTTGTAAGTTGAGGGGAGCTTCGTCATCATGGTTACTATAATAAGCATGTGGTTTAAGTTGTGAAACCATGGTGGTTATGCTTTAAAAAAAAAAAAAACAACAATATTGACTGTCTGTTTGAAAAGAGAAACGTGTTTTCGTTCATCCCAAAGGTTTTTGATGGGGTTAACGTCACAGCTCTGCGTTGGCAGTCAAGTTCTTCCACACAAAACTGGGCAAACCATTTCTTTATCATGCCTGTTGTCATGATTACACACCCAACGATTTACCAATAATGTGAAACCAGTCCATTGCTCTCCTTTGAAAGAAAAATCTATCATCATGATCTCTCCTAGTTTGGGGCAAGTACAACGTTACCTACGGTGTAACATCGGCACTCCCTAGTTCCCTACAGGGTAACAATGGCATTCTTGTTCCCCAGCGTGTAACCTGGGCACTCTCTCGTTCCCTATAGTGTGACATCGGTACTCTTTTGTTCGTTATGGTGTAACATTAGCACTCTTGTTCCTTAGTGTAACATTGGTGCTCTCTGGTGCCCTAGGGTGTAACATAAGCACTCTTGTTCCCTAAGGTGTAGCATTGGGCTTTCTGGTTCCCTACAGTCTAACGTCAGCACTTTTGTTCCCTAAGGTGTAGCATTGGGCTCCCCTACAGTGTAACATCAGCAGTCTTGTTCCCTATGGTGTAACATCTGCACTCTCGTTCACTGTAGTTAATTATTGTTGCTCTCTTGTTCCCTATTGTGTAACATTGGTTCCCTATGATGTGACATCGTCACTCTTTCGTTCCCTCAGTGTGACATTGGCACTCGAAAATGAATATTGTATTAAACATTTTTAAAATATGAACTTACCTAGGGCTTATGCCTTTTTCAATGAACAATGTTTGAGACAAACAAACAAAAAGTAGCCCATTCCAACCACAGAATTGTTTTTGTATATAAATATGTAGTTTTTTCTGTTGTGCAATATGTTTGGATAACTAACAGAACACTCAGATGGGAATTCATTCCTCCTTTTGTTGTTGTTGTGAGCAACGCTTTCTGTCAAATGCTGATGAGGAGGCAGTTCATTTTTTGTCAGAGAAATTATTCCTCCTCTTATTATTTCACAGTTTCATTCCTAGTGAACAGTTTTAGTAATCATAGGGTATATTTAGCTGAAGCTGGGACCTACTGTATGGATGTATCTATTAGACAGTCTTTGTTTGGCTCACAAATTAAATGACTCACAGTCAGCAGCACCTGATCCAGGCACCCAAGCCACATCGCTACATGAAATATTGCATGTTCAGTGGCCGGGCCCTATAAAAAGTCTGTGTAACTAATCCCTGCCCTCTGGGCTGAGGAGAGCTGAGTGGGGGGGAAAAAGAGAACACCCTTACACCCTCGACGACATGCTGGGAGAGTTAAAACCCCACATGGGTAGCCAAAGAAAAAGCAGCCCAAAAATCATCAGTTCTATTTTTTTTCTGTGTTATGATTTACTATGAGAACTGAAGATGAAGAGCAAGCACATTCCTCTGGTGTGGATTCTCCCAGGGACTGGAGGTTAGGCTTACTCCCTGAGTCTCGATGAAACCGTCCCGGCTCCAGAGACTGACTGAGGTTTTCTCTCCGCTGCAGATTCCACAAAGCCTCAGTGTGTTCATGATGAAAGCTTCAGGCTGTCTGAGCTGATGGCTCTGCTCTGGTAAATGACGCCTTTGCTGTTTCCTAGGGGGTCTTCACTCTCTTCACATAAGGGTAGAAGCTGTAGTGTGAACGTCACTTTGTGATTGTTCGCAGCAAGAGTAAAGAGGCTCAGTGAGCACCCCCTAGAGGCTGCAGTGTTCATTACATCACACAATTAGAAAGAACTGATAACATTTTGTACATTTCTTTGTTTTACTGGTAATGAGGCTTGAGAAAGTCTAAGAAGAAAAGGTAATCACATATTTTTTTTGCAACAGGGTTTGGGTACAAAAAGCAGGGTCAAAATTCCCACCCACCAATATGTGTCCCCCACTGTATATTCCCTTTAAATATGTTCTTTTGATGATGTTATTAAAGCTGGGGAGGCAGTATATTTGGACGTCATTGTGCAAATATTCCTTCATAACCTTGCCAGTGTACAGAAACTTCTCCACCTCCAGGAGAGCAGGCCACGCAATTTAAATTCAGCCCTCACAAACTCCAGTGCTTGGAGTCATAGTGGGCTGTTGCAGCACTGTATCTAACAAGTGTTATCACAAGATAGGATGGGCTTGGGCTAGTCAGCTAGCATGCTAATTTCATTAGATATCTATGCAACACATACATGTCTTCTACATAATGGCAATAATGTAAACTTTTCAAATTCTGTAGAGTTCTCTGTTTAGAAACTTAATGTCTGACCATATCTTACACATTGCACCTTTAAAGTGAAAAGTCAATGATGTCGGCATAGACAGCACATGTGAGTGAGGTTTTGGGATTACAAGCTACCCAAATGAATGGTGTATTACATGTTTAGGCGATCACACATCCCTCTGTGCCCTCTGTCTTCCTCCTGTCTGTGAGAGCTGTCTGAGATATACTCTGTCTGGAATGAAGCCCAAAGCTCTGCTCTGCTGACGTGACCGGACAAATTAGTGTTACTCCAGCTAATATATTCAAACTGCTGCCGAGCCGCTGCAGAGAACATTGAGAAGTATTAGAAATGATAGCCTTGACTGTCAGCGACGCTAACCACTCCTGAAAAGGTGACAGCACATTTGGCTGCTATTTGCTGCGGGAGAGAGAAAAAAAACACCTACAAGTTTAACTTTGGGGCATTTTGATCTTTAATTCATACGGGATGTGGAAAAACGTGTTTGGTCTATTCACTCTCAAAAGAGTCATTCTGACCAGAGAAACATGCCATGGAGATCATCTCACGCCATCGGGCCTTCACCACTTTGATGATTTTGTACTTTCTCAGTGCCAGTCGACTCATTGACAAACTATCCTTTCATAGAAAAGCCCAGGGAGGAACAACTCCGCACCACTCCCGTCCCACTCTCACGCACCCAAATGCTGAATACTTGAGGCGACTCTTGGATGTGTTTTATGCCGACAACATCTGACAGGCTTGAAATGAAGCCAAGGCAGATATGAAAGCCGGCACTGTCTGTCAAAACCATGAAATAATCAGCCCCCCCCCATCCACCTCAGGGGCCCAGCTGAAAGTCATTAGCCCAACACAATGTGCTGTCTCTACAGTTAGTCTAAAAAATAATAATAGTAATAATACTTAGGAGAATTACCATAACTATCGGAGAGGATCTCAATTATCTGGTGCGTTTTCAGCCCACTGTGGCAGATTGCAGCGCGGTCACTGTCAGGGCTGAACTGAAGGAATATTTCGGGAAAATTGGTCAGCATTTATGTTCCAGCCTTGATTATAATAGCCAATGGCGATTACCCATCTCTAATCCTATTAACTTTGTTTGGATCATGGGATGAAAAACATAAAATATGAAAAGGACATTTCAGAAATCATTAAACTACATCCATATGCTTTCAAAGATTGTTATTCTTTTATTTTTGAAAAATGCAAGTAAACGCTAAGCTAAGCAAGAGCTAAATTGAAGAAAACAAACAGTAATTAAGTTATAAATAAATTAAGGATTCTTATCTTCACATTTGTAGATATTGTGCAAGACAATGTATTTAAGCAAATAAAGCAATTTATAGTCTAAATGTAAACACATATAAAAAAATCTATTCATCTGCAATATTACAAGCAAAAGTAAAAAAAAAAACTTACATAAAGTTTTAATATTTACACCAGACTAGCTTGTACTGAGTGCACTGAATGAACATTATTTCTCCTGCAATACAATGTGAACAGAGAACTACATGTTGCACTGAAAGGTGACATTAGGACCTCATCTCCAACCGTTATTAAAGAGGACATATTATGCTCAATTTCAGGTTTATATTTTTTATATTAAATTCTAAATCATTGAAGGATTAATATTTTTGAAACTTTCCAAAACCCTAGAAAAGCAAGGTACAGTAGTGTTAAAAAAAAAAAATGGAAGTTCAGCATTGTGCAGAGCAAGGATACTATTTACAATAGAACTTTGATACTGACCCCTAGGCTACTGATATTTTTGTCACATGACCTTTGTTAACAGGTTCCCCTGCTCAACTTTAAATTCAGATCATATTACAATGGGGTGAGAAGTTGTTTCTATAACAAGAAACTCTAATGAATATCAAGTTTAAAATAATTACCATGTTTAAAACATAAAGCAATATGTTTTTTTTAAGAAATCTAACATGGTACATTATGGCTGAGTGCTGTCCTTGTAATGTAACATGCTGGATTTAGTGTCAAACGGGATACAAATCATTCACTTGGCAGACAAACCATCTTAGTCCACATGTTATTCCAATGATCCTCGTGGTTGAGACAGGAACAACTCAAGAGAGCTGAGGGTCCACCTTTAATGTCATCACGATACAGACCCGACAATAAATTACAGTCTAGCTTTGGTGGACGTACAGAGTGCTTCTGTAGAAGGTTAATGTCCACGTAAAACCTTTATTTTACTTCTGGGCTGAGCAGAAAAAGAACTCCTGTCTCCATAAAATCTCCCCGGGTGCCATCACACACTCCACACGGTGGTTTCAGGATTTATCTGCTGTTGAACACTTGGAAGATTTCTTGCTGTGGTGTTGTCGTTTTTAGAGACCTGATCCAAAATATAGACTCAAACAAAAGAGGAAAAAAGTGTGCATTCAGATTAAGGTTGGATTTCCCTCTGAGAGTTATGATGTCACTACTTCATTGCAATCATCCAGACAGGCATGATGATGTCAGGGAAGCCTTCCTGCTTTTCTACAGCCAGGACCTCGAGGCCGGCCTTGCCGATGATGCACTTCATGATGTCCAGGTGGCGGCTGATGCTGCTGTCGATTGGGTCCAGCTTGCAACCCTGCCGCGCCATATTGTCCTTTATTATGATGACGCCGTTTGGATGCAGACTCTTCTTACAGCGCATCAGGAAGTTCATCAGGTCCTTGTCTGTTAGGTGGCCTAAGGAGAAAAACAGAAAGGATAAAAACAATCCCCAAATGGTATACATCATAGTAGAGTAGAGTAGATAGAACAGCACTCTTCTGTGATGGAAACTTCTGAAGCAATGGAGACGAAACTCAGTGAGACAATGGGAGAGCTGGGGCTTGATAGCAAACACTGAAGATTTATTATGAAGTTAATGGCCGGAGAATTGACAAGACATGTGCTGCAACCACGAGGTGACACAGCGGTTGCCGGACCAATTCTGAAGAATCTTTCCCCAGTCCCATGTATTTAGCTGGTTCTGAGAGAATAATCAACATTGTGCATAACAAGATAAAACAGGCAAAGCACAATAACACCTCTATCAGCTGACGCCATCAGGCAGGAATAGGGAGACAAAACAATGAGAGCACAGCAGCCCAAGGTTGCAGGTGCTCAGTGAGGGCAGTACAAACTGATAAACTGGGTCAAAGTTATGGGCCTAAGAAAATATTTCCCCAACATCTTCCTTATGTATTGCTGACCTACTGCAGTCTCATGGTTAAGAAAGGTAAGTCACAAGAGAAAGATAATTTTTTGTATTTCCTCTCACAAAAAGCAAACAAGGTCATGCATCCTCCTACTGAAGGACCCTGAGGCGTTTCCAGGCCTAATTTATGTATCCAAAGAGAGTTTTCCTGCATATATAACAGTGGTTGTAAACCAAGCTCATTCCTGGTGCTCAGACATCTTGGGACAAACGCATTGTGCCTGCCATGACCCATAATATAATTTTTTGTTCGACACTATCTGAAGCTTTTGAACAGAGGTGAGCAGTGGCGAGCCGTGACTTTTATACCTAGGCCCTCTGACCCGAAAAAAAAGAAAAGAAAAGAGTTATTACGTCACAACGTATACTTCAGCAGAATATCAAAACAACGACCCGGGGTGCAAAACGCATCAATGACAGCGACCCTCTACCACACAAAACAACACCTGTAAACAGGGCCGTCCCTCCCTACAGGCTGATCATGCAGGCTGCATGGGGCCTCACATTGCGCAGGGGGCCTCGCGCAGGGGGCCTCGGCTTATGAGCTTGGCTTGTGCGCAGTTCTCTGCGCAGTTCTCCGCGGGCCCTGACTGGAGGTGAGGGATGGACCACAGATAAACTGGTAAATAAAAAGTCAGGCTCAGCTTCCTTTTAATCCTAAGAGTCCATATTTCTGAGGTGTTGATTGTTAACTGATGGGGTAATTGTGTTTAATAATTACAGAAGAGGAAGTGGTACTGTAGTACCTAAATGATTCTGTCCGAGAGGAATAACTTATTTTAGTAAATTGGATAATTAGTAGACTTTAACCTAAACAAGCTATCAAACCTACCAATTGACCTACAGAGCTGCTGAAAACAAAACTCGGTGTGCTTTGGAATGCAGCGACTTGCCTCCAATACCAGTGAGGTTGTACTCTTTAAATAATAAGTTTGTAAAGAGATACAATCAACTGAGATACCTCTAATACTTACATGCCACCCACTGCATCCAGATGACGTCATATTTGTTTTTTGGAGGCGTGAAGTCTTGCAGGTTGTAGCAGTAGTAGGTCTCAATGCGGTCGGCATCATCGCCAAGGTACTCCTCGTGAGCATGGAGCAGGAAGTGCTCCATCATGTCCACCAGCTCCATTTTCTCAAACACAGGGAGGAGGACGCCTTTGCTCACACGGCCGATGCCGGAGCCACAGTCCAGGGCACACTGTGTGCCTGCCTTACCAGGACCCTGTGGGTAAACAAAAGGTATTAAACATTCATAGTTGTATCCACGTTGTAGTAGAAGTCAACCTTATTTAGAGGCTTATTCAGAGGATATCATCTGTTAAATTCCCAAATGAAGATTATTTTTAAGGAAACCATAACAAATATGTTTCATGTTTCACAGAAAACAAAAAGTACATTTAAATGTCAGTTTCCTTGCAGCATGTTATTACCATATCTTTAAATCAGGGATCTATACTTAATTTTCTGTTGCCAGATGTCAGGCATGTTCCCTCAAAAGCACCGACAGCACAAACAAGTCAACCTCAGTTCCTCAGGGCCACGAAACTATGAACTTCACCATGAAAGAAACAAAAAGTCACCTCACTTGAATCATGCTTGGTTTTCTTCCTTTTTCATTTGGGATTCTGACCTCACTCCAACCCCTCCACATCTTGGGCTGAAAGATGGGGCCCGAGGAGCTCTGTGCATGTTACAGGAGGTTTCCTGGTTTTGGTGAATTACTGCCGTATTGCTCTGTGCGTATGTAGCTCAGTTTAATCTGGATGTATTCTAAATCTTTTCCTTCCCCAACTTGTTTGAATGGCCATGTCAACTTTAAACAGGAGCTGCTGACAGCCAGGGAGGAGGATGTGTAACTGAACACACATTTGCAGAAGAGATGGTGGAAAATAGACAAACCTTTGGACACTTTATTTTTTATTTATTCATGTTAGCAGATAACATCTACCCATTAGATGCACACCAAAAAAAAAACACCAACCACTATAAGTCACACATTTCAAAATGAAGTTCATCCCTTTAAAGAGAGATGGACCACACAAGTATAGGAAGTTGCAAACTCTATTATTTAAGACCATTCACTGTTTTAAAGCTCCTTAAAAACTACTTTTGTTTCACAAATGGATATGAATGCACAATAGTTTTTTTCTGAAGTATGGCAGTCTTGTTTTCTCTACGATTATTGGATTTCCAGCATCTGGCAGTGCTGCTGCCCACTGGCTTTAACATCATCCCAGTGCAGATATCCAGACAGAAATTAACATTAACCAAAACACTTCTATAAAAAAATTATTCATTATGCATTTCTGTCAATTTGTTGTCTAACTTTATTGGTTTTATACAATATTATACAATTACTTTTTTTCCTCCCACATTGCAAGAATGGTGTAGTCAATACGAAGAAGATCTTAAATATCAACATTTTACGAGCCCAGTTATAAATACATTAGTGATAAAAGGCAGTTTGACTACAACCTACAGTATATTTAGCATGTGCTGAAAAAGGCCATTCTTGACTAACAAAAGAAATACAGATGAACTACAAATCTTTCAGCTTTGAAATTAGGCCTTTGATTTGTAATTCATCCTGTTTGGAGAGAAATGTGTTGTTTTATAACTATGATCAATTATATTCTGACATTTTATAGACAACTTGATTGATGAAAATAATCAATAGTTGTGGCCCAGCCCAGTCGTAGTTTCTGAAATGACAGCTCAGCTAAACTTCCAATGTGTGGTAATAGACTATCCCTGTGAGCGATCATGTTCTCGTGTCAGACAGAACTCTAACATCGAACATAAACAGTGTGCTGCATTGTATTAACCAGTAGTGGTAAGATGTGTTTAATAGGGGCTTGTAGTGTTTAAAAGTTAAATGTAGCTACTTAGCCATCTCCAATTCCTTAAAAATATCCAATCTTAGCAGTTTATAATTAGAGCTTCTGTAAAACTGATCCTCTAAATAACCTTGTCCCTGGGCCAAACCCATTCCCCGGAATTAGCACTTGGGCTCTCCCAACATCTAAAAAAACTTTAAGTTAACTCTGACATACACACATGCACGCTCAAGATGCATGTGTGCACGAATGGAGGAATGTTGTGACAAGTATAGGAAGCTGAAAATGATGACGTAATTTATATAAGTAAAGCTACGCCTTTTAAGGACATATACTGTAGTACATTTAGTCCAAAAAAACAAACATGATATAGCAAACTTGTTGTGTTATAAATTGTTTTGTGCAAATTAAACAAACAAGATATGTGAATAAGTGTAAATGAGTGAACGTATAAAAAACTGACCCTAGCTTGTCTTGTTTTGTTTTGGTGTTTATGGGGCTGACATCAAGTCTGAGCTACTATTAGAATCTGCACTGAGGCCTCGTCCCACATTCAACAAGGTGAAATCATTTTTATGCAGTAAGAAAGATTCCTCACCCATAATGGATTGTGACATCTATTTTGTGATAGCTGCAACAGTGTTAATGGATACACACGTGCACAGTGGTTAGAAGCCGCAGTAAAGCCTGTATTATGTAGAAACAGCCAAGCAAATGTACTGTTGTTACTTTATCAGTTTAACATATTTCTTTGAGACTCTAGAACTTGAATGTGAGTTGCTATCTCGTGACTCACCACAAACCTCTTCAGAAACTCACGGGAAGCCTCCAGATCCACGTTGCATATCTCCACAAAACCTCCCAGCATGCCCTCCTCCGAGGCGGGGACGTCCTCGTAGTACTGCTGAGATCTGTAGTAAAACTGTTTCTCTCCTTTGATGATCTCACAGGTGACTGGAAACAGCTTCACTGTTAGGACACATGGACAGACAAAGAGAAGAGAGGCTGGATTCATATAATGAACAATGAAAAACCTTTCAGACAGATTCTAAATACTGGTATGTTAGGTGACTTTTTAAAGAGTAAATAAAATCCAGGAGGAAAATAAAAATGTGGTTTAATTTAGTCAGAAATGTGCTTGTTGCACATGTAAACAGCAGTGATGTCATGTTGTCCTAGAGTACACCCTTGGTTGCAACCCAGTCTCACGGCATTTCGTTTACGAAATATAATCTATTGATTCGTGTTCACCAACACGATTTTTCCCTTTTTTTCGTGTCACACACGTGTCATTTTAAAAGCAATGTATTTCTATTGGTAGTATGTTTCGTGCCGGTGTTACAGTATAACTAGAGTCATGACAACTGGCGTCATTCTATTATTTTAGAGTTAGACAGATGTATCGGGGGCGTGTACATTGAGGACCCATTGTTGACTTACCAGGAAATAAACATTTTGATCGCCTCGTCTGTCGTTTACATTCAATTTTTGCTATATCTGCCTCCATAGGATCACTTTTGCCCCTTTCACACCAACGCGTTTTCAGCGCCGGCTCGGAGCTAGAGCCTGAAAAGTACCGTTTTTTCCTGTTCACACCGCAGCGGCGCCGCCTCTTAGCTCCGGAATCCGGTTCACTTCCAGCTCCAAAAAATTGTCGGTCTAGAAGCAAGAGCTTCGGAACTAAGAGGCGGCGTCGCTTACGTCTCTCTTACGTCGAGGCGTGCAGGAAACTAAACCCACCTCCCCTGAACATGGGTCGACTGAAGAGTCTCGTCATGCCTGCCTACAAACAGTAGTGCTGAGCAAAGTGACTAGAAGGCAACCACACACTTATAAAAAAAAAACACACTTTATAAAGTCAGGCAACACTAACCAGGCTTCGTGTGATTCTGTTTATTTGTACCTTACTTTGACCATCCGTTCGCTGTTATTGATCATTGTGGAAAGCAGGCAGACGTTTTGTTTTGTATTATAGCAGCTATCGGATGGAATCAATACATGGGCTGCACAGGTTGTCATGTCCGACTATCACAAGTAGAATCATAATGAAAAATACACCGATAAAATGTGCCTGTAGAAAACGGCTTAGCAAGTAGTCAGTTTAGCTTCGGTTGCTATGCTAACATCTACCATGTTATACCAGAGAAACTTTCATAACAGCGTTGTGATGCCAAACAGCGTCAATTCAGACTGACACACATTCACTTAAGGGGAACTGGGGATATGTATCAGCTGCTTGTGTGACAGTCAGACAGTGAATACTTTAGAGCCGTGTGAGCTAACCCAGAGCTAACGGGAGAATAAACTCCCGTGGAAGGGCAGCCAGCACTGCAGCGGTCGGTAAATGCCGCTGAAACCAGGGTTGCCAACTTTGGGTACCTGGCTGGAGTGAGATTTTGATATCATGGGTTTAATTACACATATGCGCACTAAATGACTGCTATCGTGTCAGTAGCGGGACCTTAGCATATATATAGGATATATATACAATATATACAAATACACAATACACAGACTATAAAGGGCACACAGTTTCATTCACTAATGAAAGTCAAACACATGTTTGTTTCCACTGTTTTATTGTGTGCATAGGCCTGTCCAACCCAGTCTCACGGCATTTCGTGTTATAGTCACAAAATAAATTTTATCTATTGATTCGTGTTCACCAACACGATTTTCGCATTTTTTTCGTGTCACACAGAACGATTTTAAAAGCAATGTATTTCTATTGGTAATATGTTTCGTGCCTGCACCACGTCTTTTTGTCCGGTCGGGTCTTGGAATACCAGAAGCTGTGTGGTTCATAAAAACATGTTCTTACTCAATATCTTACCCTAAGCCTAACCCTATCCCTTTTATTTTAAATTGTATAATGTCGGAGTTTTTTTGCCGTCCACGAGGAAAAGAAATGGGGCAAAGAGCCTCAGAATACTGAAATCTGTATTTTTTGTCATCTTTTTTTCTTTCTAATTTGTTATTATTTGGTGCAGGCACAAAACATACTACCAATAGAAATACATTGCCTCTAAAATTGTTCTGTGTCAGAATACTGAAATCTGTATTTTCTTTTATCTGTTTTTCCTTCTAATTTGTTATTATTTACATTGCTTTTAAAATCGTTCTGTGTGACACGAAAAAAAATGGCGAAATCGTGTTGGTGAACACGAATCAATAGATTAATTTCGTGACCATAACACGAAATGCCGTGAGACTGTGTTGGCCTGTCGCGATAAGCAAATAATTGACTTATCGTACGATAAATAAAAATGAACTCGATAAATTGCCATTTACATGAGGATGTCACTAGCAGTTTGAAAGGATGTACTTGAATTATTATTATATATTATCATTATGTCAGTGGTCTAAAATGGTCATACAACGGTGCCGACAATATTATCGTTTATCGCAATAATTTCCGGGAAAGTGTATCCAACAAAATTAATAACCAACCAAAAACGATCGCCGGTTCATCTTGTTTTTGGCGTGAGAATAGTTTGGGCAGCGTGAGAGCGTGAGATTGAGAGTGAAAGCGTGTGTCACACGCCAGATGCGTGAGAGTTGGCAACCCTGCTGAAACACATTAATAAACAATGAACCACGGCACTCTGGAGAAAAGTATAAGGTTGGAAAAGTCGTTATTTAATTTAATCTGGCTTCGTATAATTAAAAGCAACACGTTGTTGTTGTGAGCTCCGTTGGGGAGAAAATCAGCGATGTAAACGGTGACGTCATGACGCAGCAGCGGCAGCTCTGGGCGGTGTGAACAGAGCGGGAGCAGAAAAGGGAAACCGGAGCTGAACCAGAAAAGCTCTAGCTAGGAGCTAGAAAGGGAAAAGCGCTGGTGTGAAAGCCGCATTTGATGCACATTCAGTACTCGTATGTGAGGTTGTGGGTGAGAGGTCGATATCGTGACGCTTACAGGGAGGTATCGAAAATTACAAAGTAGGTGACTGTGTGGATGCCTGTTCAAAACATTGCAAACTTGAATAAATCATTTAAAGGTCCCATGTCATGGCCATTTCCACTGATCATAATTCCATTGTTGAGGTATACTAAAATAGATTTATACTGTGCATTTTTCCAAACTCACATTGGTTTCGCATACAGCATCTCTGTAAAGTGTGTGTATTCAGCAGTATTCACTCTCTCCACTAAACGGATCGTTGCAGCTCTTGCCCCCCCCCTCCCTGTGAGCCCAGTGTGCTCCGATTGGTCAGCTCGGCCACTCTGTTCTGATTAGTCAACCACCAGAGAGGCTCCGCCCATGTCTAACAGTGCTTTTTTCGGCTCGCTCTGACTCTCAGAGGAACATCAGTCTTATAATGGCGTCGGTTCAGCCGTATATTGTATACGCTAACTAACCGAACTGTACCTACAACTGTTGTTATAGAAGAGTACGTTATTTTTACCTGTGATAAACTACTACTGTTTGATGAGAAATCAAATCATGGTTTGCTATATATGAATGATATGTTATAGGAGCAAATAATTCAGGGAAGAAAGGATACTAAGTATTTCCATCAAACTTTATTTTTAGAAATGTACAAAATGAACATGTGTAAATATACATATATATATACACTGTATATCATCCATTCCTCCCCTTATAGGCGTTTTCGGCATATTGCCTATCGCAGCTTTGTAAACTGGTGCTGGGGCTTTTTAGGACGAGGCATCGGTCATCCAGTGTGTGTGTTGTCCGCCAGATACGCCAGGAGTTTCCTGATCTGGCTGGACGAAATCAAATGCAAATCACAAAATATTAGAGTAACTTAGTTGTTTTAGATTCGTTAGTAGTAGTTGTGGTAGGAGTGTGTATCTATCTAATCTATCTATCTACAGTTAGCTTGCCAGCTAATATGCTAACCTACGTTTGCTAGTTGTTCAGTGTAATATGCCAATCTACTATGAACAACAGCTAGTCTAGGCTAGCAAGAACATGTTTACAATTGCAATCTTATACGGGTAGTCTGCTACGTTCGGTCATTCATTGTAGCTGGCATGAAAACAATGTTTTCCCTAGCATGTCTAGCTCTAGGTAGCCTTGTTGTTTAGCTATGTAGCATACACGCTATGAACGGTAGCTCGGTAGCATACACGCCAGGAACGCCAACTATAATGTACTGACCGTACGGTAAATCACCCGGAGTATACTGTCTATGAGTATTTTGTGTGTGATTGCAGACATTCTTCAGCTATGAGATACATGTAAGGCCATCTGCTAACATTGGAGTTGATATATGGAAACGCTAGCAACTTAGTTAGCCCAGTTAGCATTGCTCGCACACACACAGACACACACACTGCTGGAGGAGCAGACAGGCTTGGCGATAAAGCTAGAACAAGCGAAACTCATCTTGAGCACACACAAACACTCACAGCCGAAGTAAAAACAATAAGTGTGGCTTGATATTGAGTAAGAAAAAGGTTTATAACGCTGTGAGCATGGGTCTGCGGAGAGCATTTCAACGTAATAGTCCGAAAAACGTTTACCCATTTAAACAGTCGTGGTAGATACCTTGTTTGTTTTAAACATCATAAATACACAAACAACAATGAATACTTACAGGTGTACCCAAACTCCCGCTGGTCCAAACAAAGTAGGAACAGCATCGTTCTTCAGTGCCCTACGCTGTACATATCCGGCATGAATCGCTGAAAGGTTTTGGGAAGCTTTGTTACGTGAAAGGCTGGCAGAGGGTGCGGCCATAGCTCTGGGCGTGGCTACTGGCCATCCCTACGTCACGATACCCAGGAAGTAAACAATGGAAAATGAGAAATCTCCAACAAGGCGTTTTGGGGAGGTATTTTCTGTGTTAGAGTTTTACTCGCTACAGGGTGTATTTTGAGGGTTTTTGACTCTGCACACCGTTTACATGCATAAAAACCTTCATAACACACAAGGGGACGGGTAATAACCGGAAAAGCATGACATGGGACCTTTAAATTATATATATGTGTCCGACTTT